GCTGGTAAACTGGCTGAAAATGTAATATTGTCTCAACTTAAATAGCCAAGCTAACAAACTTGTAGACTGCAAAAAACTTCCATCTAACCAATTTTTAAAATCTTGTATCCATCCAAAAAAAATTTTTTGATCTTGTTTTGAGAGTGATAACACGAACAGAAAGTGTTAGAATATTAATCCAATTTTTAGAAAGTGTAAGATCTTGTTAGCCTGAAAATTTGACTCAAACTTTTCTTTAAAAAAAAGGAAATAATTTTTTTTTGAGTCAATTCAAGTATTTCAAGAATTTTCCCAAGTAAAATTTTCTTACTCCATTGGCAGAAAATTTTCACTTAATTTGAGTCAAATTTTCAGGCTAACAAGATCTTACACTTTCTAAAAATTGGATTAATATTCTAACACTTTCTGTTCTTGTTTAGTAAATCACTCTCAAAACAAGATCAAAAAAAATTTTTTGGATGGATACAAGATTTTAAAAATTGGTTAGATGGAAGTTTTTTGCAGTCTACAAGTTTGTTAGCTTGGCTATTTAAGTTGAGACAATATTACATTTTCAGCCAGTTTACCAGCTGAAAAAGTTTTGTGTGTATTATAGTGTATTTTATTTCAGCAAAGACATTTTTTACAAGTAAACTGTTCCTTCTTAAAACTAGTCTTTGCTCTTTTGTTTCTCCAAACCTTCTGACTATTGCTGCATACATTTCAAAATAAAATCAAAATGTGCCACCAGAGTGCAGCAAAAACTTACTTTACATWATTTTTCTGTCTACAGATGCAGGCAACATGTGTCCTCCTGAGTTCAACCCTCTCTTCCTGAATCCCCCTGTGGTCATTGCTGAATATGGAAAAGACATCAATGTAAACTGCACCGATATGGAAACTGGTCGTAGAGAAATGACCCTAGTGTTGGGAGATGATCAGGCTCAAAGTACAGTTTTTGACAGTTTTGTTTCCATCACGACTTCACTGACTGACTGGAACKCAACGGGAGAGTGCAAAATAAAGCTAAATGAGTCTACCGAGTGCAGCGAAGAGATTGAAATTATAACATATAGTAAGTGTCATTTWAAATTATTACAAATCAATGGTGAAAAAGCTATGTATAAAATATCTATTTATGCATATTTAGCAGCAATTTTTACAATATGTATTGTTTTTGTTTTTACAGAAATCCCAGATGTCCTTCTTTCTGTAAAAATCAAACATATTTTGATCGAGAAGACAACGTATGAACTGCAGTGTGACGTCTTCAATGCCGCTCCCATCCAAAACCTCACCATCGAGTGGTACAAAAACAATGAAATCATAAATGTAACGTCTTTCTCTGAAACAGTCAGAACACCAGTAAATAAATCCAGCAATTTGGAAATCGATGTCAGCAGAGAGGAGAATATTGTCCAGTTTAGATGTGAAGCTCAGCTCAACTTTGACCCAGAACCACAACATTCTGTTGTTTCTCGAACACTCAGCCTCTCAGCACTCGGTGAGTAAACACTCTTTTTATTTTAACATTTCTTTTTCAAAATGAGCAAATTTAGTGCAGTTATTTATTTGTCAGATGATTAGTGAATGTAAAACTTTTTTTTCAGATGTTSCTCTCACCACTGAGCCTGGAAATATAACAGCCCCTGCAGCCACGCCCAGCCCTGAGRCACCACCACTACAAGGTACGCATCTCCAGAACTGCACTTGTCTCGCTCCCAAAAGGCAAAGTTAACAATTTTCCCTGTGGATTTGGATTTATAAACTTTATTAATTTCATAAAACATAAAACATAAAACAAAATTCTATGTACAATAATAAGAAAATACAAATAAAAGAAATGAATGGTGGCAGA